GCGTGTTAGCGTCTCTCAAACTTCAGCCACTTGTATCCCGACCTTTACGATTATTACCAAAAGTCTCGTCCACTATTTACTGGATATTTTTCTTGAAACGGATTCGCTTTCAAAGCACTTCAGCAGGTGCCGCCTGCTTGAGCGTAGCCCCGAGCAGTTACCTGCGACATCTTGGCTGTGATGGACCGATTGGGTGTTGTTTTTTTTTCTTAATACGCTTTAAAATAAGTATTTCGATATTAAAAATGAAAAAGTTTAATTTTCATTAACCTACGGGTGTCCCCACGCGGGGAGCACAGCAGCGTATGAATGAGCACATCGGTTGCGGGGGTCGGGTGCCAACTCCCGTAGCCCTGGGACCCGGCGGCGGTTCGGTTGGGCAGCGTTTTCTCGAGTACCAGCTGTGTGCCAGGCACTGTGCTGGGCGCTGGGGAGGAGGCTGGGCTTGAAACGCTTGAGAAAGTTCTGGCTTTGAAGGAGCGCATCGTCTTAAGAGGAAAAGACATCCGTATCAGGGTGGGGCAGTTGTGAGTACTCAAAACAGCTTATTCTTATATTGTTATTTGTGAATTATTGTATGAGTCTCCATATGAACAACTGTAAGCCTACTTTTGCCCCGCTCTGTAAGTAACTGCAAATGCAGAGACTTTTGTAGTGCAAGTTTTGTACTTCAAACACGGCAGCTTGTTGGGATGGAAAGTGTATTGAGCAAGTGCCCAAATCTCTAAGGCTTTCATTGTGGTCACAAAACAGGAGAGTCTGCCCATGTCGTGCCTTTAAAGATTTACAATTAGGTTGAGTTTAGAGGACAATTTGAAAATGCGTGAGCTGCAAAAATATATAATAAAAAAAAATTGAAACGTTGAAATGAAAAGAACACAACCTATAGAAGTCAAATAACAGAAAATACACTCTAAGCAAAACTCCTTCGGTAATAGAAGTGGATGTTATTGACACTATTTTGGAAATGTACCTTTAATGAATTCTGGAGGAAGGGATAGAAGTCCTCAATCCTAATATTTTGCTAGAATGGTAGAAGAAGAAGAAGATGGGGCCCAATAGAGCCTGAGAGCAGCATGTCTATCCAACATAATGGTAACACTGCTTTGGAGATATTTTGGATGATAGGTTAAGTTGGTGCTGTTGTGTTGGAGTGTTGGTGAATTCCTAGTGAGTAATCTCTAGCCTCTTTCATTTCCCCCAAGGAAATGCGTGCTTTAAAAAAATGAAAAATAAATAAAGATAAATTATCCACCTACCGATTAGCAAGAGAGGTAGTTTTGTGACATTGTGATAGGCTTTTGTTTTCTTAGCTATACAAATGTTTGGAAAATGTAATCTTGGTATTAAAAAACTGTTCAGAAATGTGTTTTTACTCCAGACCAAGTTGGAAGAGAGATTCGCTTTAATTGTAGTCAGTTTATGTGTTCCATATTTGATTTAAGTATTATGTTTGCTGTGGATTTTATTTGTCCGTTGAGTTTTATTAGATGCTACAAAGATAATCAGAATACCAGTTTGATGGTGGATTTATCTCTCAGTTGAACTGTGGACTTTTTGGAGTGTATGTGGTGTTTTGGGAACCTGGTGGATTCTATGCTAAGTGTTAGAATACCATTCAATAGGGAGAGTATTGAGATACTGCTCTCATAGTTAAATCATGGCTGCTTTTCCGACATCCTTTGTAGATTTAGACATCAGATTTTAAATATGAAACCTTGTATTCCGTTGAGGAAACAGATTTGGATTTTGTGTGCTATAGTTGAACCTAAAGTGGTGCCTCAAGGAGTGTATTTATTTCTTTTAGATACCCCATGTTACCCCATCACCAGAAGAGTCTGGGCAGAGACTGGACTACACCGTGGGAAAATCTGCAAAGGTGTTGCTGGAACAGACATATTTCTAGTTGTATGAGGTGGCCTGGACATTACTCTCGTGCTCCTTACCCCTACTTCAGTAGTAGGCATTTTTCATTAAATTGGAGACCACCTTGTTTGTTTGAGTCTAGAACTCAGTTTCAGTACTGGAGTTGGAGACCTGACAACCTGGGCCAGACATCTTTGATTCATCTCTCTAGTTCCATCATGAACTCTGAGGGAGATGAGCCTTCATCAAAACGAAGAAAACACCAAGGTAAAGGTGACATTTATCTTGGTGGAGAAATAGAAATAAGCCATAGACTGATTGAAACTTTCATATCTAATCCTCAGGAAAACAACCTGCAGGTTTTAGAGGTGTTTGGTGGTTATTTTCAGCCAGTAGTTCTCTATGAAGAAAAGGGAAATTATTTTTTTTAAATGACGCTTTTATTCTTATCTTTTAATTAATTGTGTATTTTTGGCAGTAAAGATAGAAGTGACTCTACATATAGAATAAGGTGGAAAAGAATGGAGGACTACATTAAAACATTAAGTTTAACTTAAGAATAATTTTCAAATCCAGTGTTTTTGAAACAAAGGTTCTTAGACTTCTTAGAAATTGGTGGGTGAATAATTATTGGAAGTCCACAGATGTATAAAACTAAATTTTGTGTTTTCATTTTAAGCTAACTTTTAAAAATGATAACTTTTAAAAAATAAGACAAAAGAATTTTCTTAAATAGAAGCAATCAAGTGAAAGATATTTTCTCAGAATAGGATTTTAGCTTATTAAATCTGTATTTTTCATACTGGAGTCTATAGATATAATCTTGAGAGTCTGTGGGAAGTTTTGTCTTTTAAAATATCTTCAACTTTAAGAAACAGTTTTTTCTAAATATGTTGATTATTCCTATTTTTCTTATGTTCTTTTTACTCTAAACAATTGACGAGACTCCCTCTGTGCTTCCAGTCCTGCCCCTTGCCCAGTAGAATTTGGAACTGTCTTTCTTACTGAGCTGTGGTTTTCAGTGAAGATAATGCCTCTGAAGATATGAAAGTAGGCTGTGTAGGTGTCAATGTGTAGGGAGCAGATGTTTGCCAAAGGAAAACATTCACAGTGAGTGTCACCTGGAAATCAGAGCTAGAAGATGAGTTAGTGCTCTTTTAGGAAGAAATCCTACTACACATTTAAGCAGAAATTCTAACCACTCAGTAGTAAAAATCTCTCTGTATAGTACTTCACTACAGCTTGTGTTTATAAACATATTTATTTGAATGAATGAAAGGTTTATTTAGAGGCATTAAAATTAGGTTCCTAAGAACAATCCATAATCTATAAATCTAGGGTTGTATGATACGAAATTGCTTTTCATTGACGTATTCATGGTCCATCAGGTCAGCACACTTCTCTTTTGTAAACCTGGTAGCTGTCAGGTGGAGCCGTGCCATAGTGACATAAGCTTGGGCTTAGAAACCTCTCCCTGCTGTCATTCTGCTCCACCACAAATTGTATGAACTTGGCATGTTACTGAACTTTCTGCTCCTTGGTTTCCTAGAGTAAAATAATGCTTACTTTCAAAGCCTGTTGACAATGAAATGAGATGTCAAAGTGCCCAGCACACTGTTGGCTTCATAGTAGGTACTCAGAAAATTGTGGTGGTGGTGTTTTCCCTTTAATGGATGGGGAATTACAATTACACACTGATAACCTTGGATTGCAACCTGACTCTTTATATGTCCATTCTTCCTAGGTATTGTGAATAAGGAAAATGCTCTTCGTTAAGCCATATTTGTGACTTCCGATATTTCACTAATACTTTTCAATCAAGAGAACAGCATTGCTAACTTGCCTATCACTTTAAAGTGGTATTTGAAGGATGTTTGTGATACAATTAAGACTTTTTAATTAGGCACCCTAAAAACCCGATCAGGCCTATTGCTTACTTTCTTTGATTCACCTGTCTTCTCTGCTGTGATCACCTTGTTCCTCCTGACATGGAAGGTATATAAGCTTTTGTGGTATGAATTTATGTTGTGAAGTATATGAAGGCCAAGACTCTTCACTCCATCAGTCGTTTTCAAATGGTCTTCCATGGAACTCTAGCATTCGAACACATTTCTGTATGTTTATTCAAAGCAATGTGGTCAGTATAAATGTATTTACCCCATCATTCCAGCCCCAGTCCCAGCACACCAGGGATTGATTGATGTTCATGACATGAAAAGTAATGCTCAAGGGTTGTATATGCTATAGAGGTTGAAAAACCACTGTATTGGTGGAATTTTATGTATTGTAATGCCGTAAAATGAAAGTCTTCATGCAGGAAAAGGGAGAGATTCTAGGGCTGAGATTTTTTATATTATCGAATCATCTCCTAGTCTATTTCTCCAAGGTCTTCCCATTTCTTGTTTTCTCCTTCATTTGTGTTTATAGGTTCTCTAAAAGTTCCACATTTTGCTTCGTGGCTTCCACTGCAGTTAGTGTATGCCCTTTAATGGTGGTGTGAGGGAGACAAGATCAGAGAAGAAAACTGCATATGTGGTGGTCTTTTCTAAATTGAGGACTGCCTGTAATTGCAAAATCTCATGCTTTTTGATTCTCTTTTCATCACTTTTTCAGGGTGCAGGATGTCTTTGCAGAATATAAACCATTACACATTCCTGGTTGCTGCATGCTAGGTTCGTCAACCAGCCATTATCATTTACCAGCATTCTGTAACTATGTTACATGTAACTTTTGCTTTGGTATGCATTAAAAATATTTCTTTTGTTCGTTTTTTTGTTGTTGTTTTTTTTGCATTGTTCCACTTCAGTGTTTTAGACACTAGCTACTGCTTCTATATCTTCTATATGTTTTCATTATACACCTTCCATTCATGTCTAAAGCAGATTCTGAGATAAGTTCTTTTTAGAACTCAGGTAATCATTGGATGATCTTATCTTACTAATAGGGATAAAATATGTGAAATGATTTTATTGGAAAGCCAGCTCTGATATACAAGTAATATTATTATGGTTATAAAGTTGCTAAGCCACTTCTTTACCATAAAGAAGTGAGAAACCATGATCCCTGTATAGTCTTAGTTTGCCTAACATACACTCTTAGCCTCCAGAATGACTTGCTAGATCCTTTTAAACCTGTTGCAGACCTCTTGGTCAGTATTTAATTTTACAGCCTTTTAATCTATTTGGTGACAACTTATGGTTATTCAGTGCTACATTGCCATTTCCTAGGGAAAAACATGTGTTCATTGCCTATGGAAAATTTTTAAAAACAAGAAAATACTTATATACAGGAAAACATATGGTCTGTTTTTTAAATTAATTCTTTATATTTCGTCCAATATGTTTTAACAGGCACCATAAAACGGCATTGGGAATATATATGTAACCATAATAAAGAAAAAACGAAGATCCTAGGAGACAAAAATGTTGACCCCATACATGAAGACAGTGAGGACAAGTTTGACTTTTCAGTGATGTCCTATAACATACTTTCGCAAAATTTATTGGAAGATAATTCACACCTCTATAGACACTGTCGGCGGCCAGTATTACACTGGAGTTTTAGGTTTCCCAATATTCTGAAAGAAATTAAAAACTTTGATGCAGATGTAAGTGCAAAATATCACAATTCTTCACACAAGTTGGGTTAAATGGTTCATTTGTGAACTAAATGGTTTTCTCCCTTTTGTTTGGTAGGAAGGGAAGACATTTAAATATAGTGATGGAACAGTTTTTAACAAGGCATCATGACTTCCAAAGAGTCCTTTGCTAATGGTTGTTGGCATACATAATCATCTAACTTCTCAAAAAAGATCCAAAAATCTTAAGTATTGATCAGTTCTGAGATAGAGACTGGCAACATATTAAGCGTTCAGTATATATTTCCTTTGATTTTAAATTTAAATAATTCATGCAAAAATTAATTTAGAAAATGACATATTTTCTTTGGGAAATACCAGTTTGGGATAGTAAGAAAGCTTCATGTGATTAAAGGCCAGGGTTTGGGGAACTGATGAAATTTGGAAACATGAATTTGATCTGTAAATTGCAAGAAAAAAGGATTTTTATTTCAACTTTCATTAGGCTTTTAAAATTTTAGAAGCTTGTATTTACAGATAGAAGCACCATAAAATTGATATTTATATCTCCCTGTTTTAATTCAAAGCCTTTTTTTTTTTTTCTTCTTCCAAGGTACTTTGTTTGCAAGAAGTTCAAGAAGATCATTATGGAACAGAGATCAGGCCAAGTTTGGAATCGTTGGGTACAATGTAACTTTTATTTTAGCCAAATTTACTTTGGAAGATTGGTATGTTGTTAAAGCATAACTTGGTAACAAAGAAGTGTGGCGTATTTGGGCCAACAGTCTTAATTTTGAAAAATTTAATACCTTTCAAAAGGTCAGGAAAAGATTGAGGTATTTCAAGGGGAAACTTTTGTGTTGGTATATAATTTTAATTCAAAGGGAAAAGTGTGTAAGAATCTCTTAATAGCTTCCTTTGCAGGAGTTCCTTTGCCCATCATTAGACAGACCCCTAAGATTCTCAGCCCCATGAGATCAAGGACCAGCCTGTCTAGGGCATCATTATAACACAGGTGTTTACCAGTACTTAATGGATAGAAACTAACACTTCTAGAAACAGGTTATCTGTTTGAGAAATGGTGCCCACTTGGCATTTGCTCATTTAGGAAATATTTTTTGAGTGCCTACTATACATCATGCAATCTTCTAGGCAGTGGGGGATGCAGCAGTGAGCAAAACAAATAAATTTCTGCCCTTGTGGAATATACATTCTAGTGGGGAAAGGCTGACAATAAACCAAATAAATATGAAAATAGTGCCCGGCCAGGTGTGGCTCAGTGGTTGAGCATCGACCTAGGATCCAAGAAATCTAAGTTCGATTCCTGGTCCGGGCACATGGCCAGGTTGCGGGCTTGATCCCCGGTGGGGGGCGTGCAGGAGGCAGCCAATGAATGTTTCTCTCTCCCTCTCCCTTCCTCTCTCTGAAATCAATAAAGATTTTTTTTTTTTTTAATAGTTCATTAAGTAATTATAGTTTTCTGGAGAAATACAAGAAAGTAGAATGGGTCAGGTTTCAATTGTAAACAAATGGTCAGAGGAAGTTACATGTTAGCAAAGACTTGAAGGAGGTGAATGAACAAGCCTTACCTGGGGCATTCCAGACTGTGGAAATAGCAAAGGAAACGCCCTGAGGTTGGAGAGGCTAGTGTGTATGGAGTAGAGCAAGGGGGAAGAGTTAGAGGCAAAAAGATCTGAGGTACATAGATGGCTAGATTATTATAAGGCCCTGCTGTCTTTGTCATGACTCTGACTTTTACTAGGATGCAAATGAGAGCGTGATAATGCATATTAGCATATTTAAGACTGAAGTCTGCCCTAAAGAGACCTATTGGGCCCAGTCCCAAACTTTTTTTATTCCAACATGTATTAACATTCAACATTACTAATGTTTTGCAAAATACACTTTGATAAACATTGTTTAAAAATATTAGCTGTATTTTGCCATATATATGTGTGTGAATATATATAAACAGTCCCTTGTTTTAAATTTCTTATAGGTTATCACTGTGAATATAAGATTCGGACAGGAAAGAAACCAGATGGCTGTGCCATTTGCTTCAAACATTCCAAATTTTCACTCTTATCAGTGAACCCAGTGGAATTCTACCGCCCTGATGTTCCTCTGTTGGACAGAGACAATGTTGGATTAGTATTACTCTTGCAGCCCAAAATTCCAAGTGGTGCCTCTCCTGCGATCTGCGTAGCTAACACACATCTGTTGTATAATCCAAGGCGAGGTGATATTAAGCTGACCCAGTTGGCAATGCTGCTGGCAGAGATTTCAAGTGTTGCCCACCAGAAAGATGGCAGCTTCTGCCCTATTGTTATGTGTGGAGACTTTAATTCTGTTCCTGGTTCCCCGCTCTATAGTTTCATAAAGGAAGGAAAATTGAATTATGAAGGACTTGCCATAGGAAAGGTAAGTGCTTCATCCCTTCTAGTAGGCAGACTTAGTCCTCTGTTCACTGTAGTGTGAGGATAGTCATCACAGGGCTGTTTGAAACCTTGGATAAGCCAGTACCCTCACATTACCAAGCTATGTTGAGTTTCCACAACTACTGATAAGTAATTATACCCACTTGGTTGAATTTCATCTTTTCCGTCTATTTGTGGCAACATTCTGCTTGGAGGAATTGGCAGGCTACAAAAATCCAAAATGGGAGAAGAAGAAAAAGAAACATTGACAGACAATACTTCATAAATAAGAAACTATTCACAAGGTGGCAGAATAGACTTTTGAATGTTGGATGTGAGCAATACAGTTAGCAAAACAGTCATTTAATATTTCTTTATTACATAATTTTCCTTTACATATGATATTTTAATTCCTTAGCTGAGTATAATTTATCACATTTTTATTTTCATTGTGCTCTCTTCTGCTTGCTTTTGATCATTTGATCTTCAGTATATTTAACCAAAATAAGTTTTTTACTACTAACTTTTGAGCGATGGTTTAAAATTTTATAAGCGTTTATCTCTCTTAGTATTTTCTATGATAGGAGCTATATTGCAGGTAGCAAAAATGGAGGGGTGGAATTAGTCCAAAGCTAATCATTTAGATGGCCAAATTAGAGAAAAACACATGTAGGAAAAGATTCCCATTTCCATGTAAATAAGTGCTTTCTGAACGTATTTGAACAAGATTTTATAATCACAAATAATCAGTATAATGAATAAAAAGTACTATTTGCCCTGGCCAGTATGGCTTAGTTGGTTGGGCTTCGTTCCTTGTACCGAAATGTTGCTGGTTAGATTCCTGGTCAGGGCACATGCCCAGGTTTTGGGTCCATCCCTGGTCAGGGTGCGAATGGGAGGCAACCAACTGATGTTTCTCTCTCACATCAATGTTTCTGTTTCTCTCTCTCCCCCCCCCTTCCTCCCCCCTTCACTCTCTCCCTCTCCCTTCCCCTCTCTCTAAAACCAATGAAAAAAAGTAATATTTACCATTCTTGGATTCCCTTTCATTTAACACATAAACTTTTCAATACATAAACTATTTAAAATCTGCTCATTTAAGATACCTGTTGAAATTTTGTTTAGGTGTCTGGCCAGGAACAGTCTTCACGGGGACAAAGAATTTTATCTATTCCAATTTGGCCCCCAAACCTAGGTATCTCACAGAACTGTGTGTATGAGGTACCGCAGGTACCAAAAGTAGAAAAGACAGGTAAGTGTTTGCAATATGTTTTGGCAGTCTTCTTCATTATACTTTCCCTTTGAACATAAAACTAAATTTTTAAAAGGACTAAATATTCGTATATGAAAACATGTAGTTATTTGCTTATTCCTTTTTTTAAAGAGCTCTAAATTTACCTTTTTAAAGTTGAACTTCCAAAATTATCTTTGCATGAATTACTTGCACGTTGCTTTGGAAATGTTTGCATCTTATATTTGCTAATTTTGGAGATCATCAAAACATATAGCTTCTATGATGAAACATTTAACTAGGCATCTATCTAAACTAGATATGTCTTAAATATTGTTCCTAGAGTAAAAGGACCTACACTAAGGCAAACTAGAACAAAACAGTGTATTGGTAGTATTAAAATACTAATACAATACTAATAGTATTTTTCTTGTTCTTACAGACAGTGATCTGACACAAACAGAGCTGGATAAAACAGAAGTCCTAGCGACAGCTGAAAAGTGAGTTCTGGGAAGCAGCAGTGGACATTAGCTGACTTTAGTCAAGTAAAAAAGTCATTTCTCAAAACTGACTTTTTAAAAAAGTGATAAAAAATGAAGGTGATATTCTGTGCTGGTGAAGAGTGATGGTTCTTAAGTCAGATAGACCCAAGTACCAATTACAGCTTTGCTGCTTTACAGCTGTGTGATTTTGAACAAGAATCTTAACATCTCTGAGGTTCATTTCCTTATATATATAATTTGGGTTGTTGTGAGGATTCGATAAAACGAAGCATGTAAAGCTCTAGTAATTACTTAAGCAGTGTTGTTATTTAAAGGAATCAGCTTGTCAGTGGATCTTGACCCGCTAGTGCTCTTTAAAGTTTATTGCTATTACAAAGGTCAAGATTGCAGAAAAATATCTGAGAGTTCAAGAAGATCCTTAGCGTCCTCTGACTTACTAGATCTCAAAACAATCTATAGGAGAATTGATCCGAAAAAGAATATGTGAGTAGGAAAGATAATTATTTATACTTATCTCTTAAACTAACTACAGGAAAAGGTCATCAGAGGTAGAAGGGTGAAGATGCCTGGATTTTTAATTATTAAAGAAGCATGAGTGTTGAGGCTATGGCTGAGAAACATGTATTTTAATTTATCAGGTGGAGGCTTAAATCTTGTCTTTTGGGGAGTTTCTTAATGTCTTCATTGTTTTATAGTGTAGCTCTTTCATAGTTTAGATTTTGTTTCAACATTTAAATTTTGGGACCAAATTACAGTCACCTCTCATTTTGTTTTCTTCTCAGTCTTACTTTGTATACTTTGTTTTGAGAAAAATATCTCATGTATGAGAATCTAGTAAGAAAACAAAAATTATTTTAATTTTTAAAACAGAATATTTAAAAATTCATCATTAAACCATTCAAATATAGTCAAAACTTTCCTGAGTGAGGTTAATAAAAAAGTTAACTTTTCTAATGAATACTTAGTTTTGAATAATTCTAAAATCTTTTTAAACAAAATAGGGTCTAAGAAAAGATACTTTTAAGTATCAATATATAAGTATAGTGTTTATACACAGCTTATATGAGTAAACTGAAAAGTTGTTAGTAAGATAAGAGCTTGCAGAAAAATATGACACCTCTGACAGCTATAGCCTTCTGAATTACATTTCTTACTGAGACTTGTGATTCAAAATTATTCCTTGGTCCATGGGCTGCAGAATAGTCAGTAGTCTGGTGGGTTCTAAATGGCATTCCTAAAGGGCATTTTGATTTTCTTTCTTAAAAACAAACCAAAAAAAACATACAGGCATCCATCAGAGATACTGCAGGTTTGGTTCCAGACCAACCGCAATAAAGTGAGTATCTCAAAAAAGCAACTCACACGATTGTTTGGTTTCCCAGTGCAGGTACAAATTATGTTTACAATATACCCTAGTCTATTAAGTGTCTAATAGCATTATATCTAAAAAATGTTCATGCTTTAATTTAAAAATACTTTATTGTTAAAAAATGCTGACCATCATCTGAGCCTTCAGTGAGTCATAATCTTTTTGCTGGTGGAGGGTCTTGCCTCACCCTTATTGATGGCTGCTGACTGATCAGGATGGTGGTTGCTGAAAGTTGGGGTGGCTATGGCAATTCCTTAAAATACGACAATAATGAAGCTTGCCACATCGATGGACTCTTCCTTTTATGAACTATTTCTCTGTAGCATGTGATGCTGTTTGATAGTTTGAAATTTTCTCCACATTTTACCTGCAGTAGAATTTCTTTCAATACTGGAGTCAGTCCTCTCAAACCCTGCTGCTACTTTATCAGCTAAGTTTATGTACTATTCTAAAACTTCCGTTGTCATTTCAACAATCTCCACATCTTCCCCAGGAGTAGAAACTGCTTTCTTTGCTCACTCATAAGAAGTAGCTCCTCATCCATTCAGGTTTGATCATGAGACTGACTGCAGTGATTCAGTCACATCTTGAGGCTCCACTTCTAATTCTCTTGCTGTTTCCACCACACCTGCAGTTACTTCCTCCACTGAAGCCTTGGAACCTTCAAAGTCATCCGTGAGGGTTGACTTCTTCCAAATTCCTGTTAGTGTTGATATTTTTACCTCCTCCCATGAATCACCAGTGTTCTCAGTGGCATCTGGAATGGTGAAGGCTTTCCAGAGGTTTTCAATTTATTTTGCCTGGACCCATCAGAGGAATGAATCACTATGACAGCTATAGCCTTCTGAATTATATCTTACTGAGACTTGTGATTCAAAATTATTCCTTGGTCCATGGGCTGCAGAATGGATGTTGTGTTAGCGGCATGAAAACAACATTAATCTCATTGTACATCTCTGTCAGAGCTCTTGTGTGACCAGGTACATTGTCAGTGAGCAGTGATATTTTGAAAGGAATCTTTTTTTGCTGAGCAGTAGGCCTCAACAGTGAGCTTAAAATATTCAGTAAACCATGTTGTTGTAAACACATGTGCTGTCACCAGGCTTTGTTCCATTTATAGAGCACAGGCATAATTCTTAAGGGCCCTAGGATTTTTAGAACGGTAAATGAGCATTGGCTTCAGCTGCCCTAGCCTCTTACAAGAGGGTCAGCCTGTTTTTTGAAGCTTTGAAACCAGGCACTGGCTTCTTTCTAGCTGTGAAAGGCCTAGATGGCCTAGTCTTCCAATTGAAGACTGTTTCATCTACATTGAAACACTGTTGTCTAGGGTAGCCATCTTCATTTACTATCTTAGCTAGATCTTCTGGATAACTGGCTGCTTCACCTTGTGCTTTTATGTTCTGAAGACTGCTTCTTTCCTTAAACCTCACAAACCAACCTCTGCTAGTTTCATACTTTTCTCCTGCACCTTTCTCACCTCTCTCAGTATTCATAGAATTGTAGAGAATTGGGGCCTTGCTCTGGATTAGGTTTTGGCTTAAGGGAATGTTGTGGCTGGTATGATCTATCTAAAACTTTCTCCACATCAGCAAGAAGGCTGTTTTGTCTTATCATTCATGTGTTTGTTCACTGGAGTAGCACTTTTAGCTTCCTTCAAGAACTTTTCCTTTTCATTCACAACTTGGCTAACAGTTGGCGCAAGAGGTCTAGCTTTCTGCCTATCTTGGCTTTCTTTTTTTTTTTAATATATCTTTATTGATTTCAGAGAGAGGAAGGGAGAGGGAGAGAGAGATAGAAACATCAATGATGAGAGAGTCATTGATCAAGCCCGCAACCCGGGCATGTGCCCTGACCGGGAATCGAATCCTGATCGCTTGGATCCTAGGTCGACTCTCAACCGCTGAGCCACGCCCGGCCGGGCTGTATCTTGAGTTTCAACATGACTTCCTCACTAGACTTAGTAATTTCTAGCTTTTGATTTAAAGTGAGAGACATGCAACTCTCCCATTCACTTGAACATTTAGGAGCCATTGTGGGGTTATTAATTGGCCTAATTTCACTGTTGTGTCTCAGGGAACAGGGAGGCCCTAGGATAGGGAAAGAGGTGGGAAATGGACGGTCATTGGAACAGTCAGAACACACATTTATCAGTTAAGTTCGCTGTCTTATGTGAGTGTGGTCTGTGGAGCCCAAAACAATTACAATAGCAACATCAAAGATCACTGATCACAGATCACCATAACAAATATAATAATAATGGAAAATTTTGAAACATTATGAGAATTACCAAAATGTAGCACAGAGACACGAAGTGAGCAAATGCTGTTGGAAAATGGCACTGATAGACTTGCAGGGTTGCCACAAACATTTAATTTGTAAAAAACGCAACAGCATCTGCGAAGTGCAATAGTGAAACACAGTAAAATGAGGTATGCCTGCAGGTTGTTTTAGATGTGTGTTTATTAGTAAGTGGAGGTTCTCGAATATAATAACAAACCACATGAGTATATTAATTATTGAGCTCTTCCCCCCCATGTTTCACAGCCTTGTTAATGGGTTTTGGATATCACTGCATAAATAAATGCCAAATTGTGATGTCGTCTATTTAAGTAAAACTTGTCCTAATGTCTAGTTTTGTCTGGAAATTAAATGAAAAAGTGCTTTAATAGGAGGAATTGTAAATTCATGAAAAACCTGATGGAGGCTGAACACTTCTTCTTTTCAATTTAGGTTATCTTCACACTTACAGCACCATTTCCGCTTGTCATCTGTTTATTCACATTATTTTCCTGACACTGGAATTCCCGAAGTGACCACCTGTCATTCCCGAAGTGCCATAACCGTGGATTATATTTTCTATTCTGCAGAAAAGGAAGATGTTGCTGGGCAGCCAGGTAAAGAAAGCATGTAATCTTTTTTTTTTTTTTTTTAATATATCTTTATTGATTTCAGAGAGAGGAGATGAGAGGGAGAGAGAGAGAGAGAGAAACATCAATGATGAGAGAGTCATTGATCGGCTGCAGCCCGCAACCCGGGCATGTGCCCTGACTGGGAATCGAACCGTGATCGCCTGGACCCTAGGTCGATGCTCAACCACTGAGTAATCTTAAGTTCTGCTTGAGAACAAGGGAACTAAAACCTCAAGGCCGAAGCTGACAAAGGTAGCTACACATCTAGATGAAGTTCTAGGTTTAGAAGTTAAAAATATTTTTGAATTGGTAGTATATTTGACAGATTGGTAATGTATTTGAATAAATGAGTTAATCACCTGTAAAAGATGGAGGCAGTGAAACACCTCAAAGCAAATTATTGCCTAGGAATTCTACCCTCAGGCTCTGGCCTCCAGTCCAGTCACCTTCTGAGTTCTAGGTCTTTCATACTGCCCTTTGCTTTTACTTGCCATAAATTTACTGTTTTCTTCTGCCAGCAACATCATATTGTTTGTACTTAAAATTTACCACAGTATGCTGCCTTCACTGTGGGACCTTGCTTAAACTTCCAATGATGGACAATTTTGTCCTGTTGGCCTTGGAATATTGTGTTTTTCTGAAAAGAGGTCTATGACTGTATTTTCAAAAACCAAAGGTGATAAAACACTTTTCCTTGTATGAGTCAATAAAAATAAGACTTTATTTAACCAAAGAATTTAATGTGGAGAAGAAAATGCAGTTTCATATAAGTGGAAGTAAGAAAACACCATTCAGAAAACTTTGAAAATCCATAATGTGGGCAGCTATTGTCTTTTCTGATTCTCCCTATTTTCTCTTCCTTTTTTTTTTCTACTTTTTTCCCCTTTTCCCTTTTGTTTGTTTTTTCTTCCTACTGAGGCTAACCTCATTAGTAATACTCAGAAGATGGCTTTCTCCCCCCCACTAGCTCAACTCTTCGGAATATGCCCGCTACTTTGAATGTGTATTGAGGTTCCGGTAGTTGTCATGCCATAACTGGTCACGAGGTGGCGGAAGTGTGTCATGCACCAGCATCTCAAATTTTAACATTAAGAGCATGTCCCCTTTTACTCTACTTCCTATGGGTACTGACTCTGGGACCAAATTATAAATTTATTCTCCATTCACCTTATAAACTTCCTACTTATCTGTGGCTGTGTATTTCTGGTTTTATACAACAACAGAATGGTTGATGGATGAATTTCTTATGCAGTTGTCAATCCCAAATCGCCCGTAACGTTCTTATTACATTGATGTTTTCTTCTGAATTATTTTCAGAAGTTGAAATAGAAAAAATATCTGAAATAGAAAAAACAAACATCTGAAACTTCTGTGTATTGAGAATTATAATTAGGTTACATTCAATTAATATTTAACCATATTCTGAAAATTTTTTGAAACAACTTGTTAGTAAAAATTTAATCATATTCTGAAAACTGTTTCATATTTAGACTTCCAGAGGGGTCTCAAGTTCTATATTATTGTTGTTTAGAAAGTAGAGACTTTTGTATGATTAACTTGCAATAACATGTTGACACAGTTTCACTAAATGTGTTTCTTTAACAGGAGCTGAAGTTGCTTTGGTTGGTGGCTTGAAACTTCTAGCTAGACTGTCACTTCTTACAGAACAAGACTTGTGGACTGTTAATGGACTTCCAAATGAAAACAACTCTTCAGATCATCTGCCTTTACTGGCCAAGTTCAGACTTGAGCTCTGACTCTTCTTTGATTACATACATACTTTTCTTTCCAATTTTAACTCTTTTTCAAAGACTGTAAAGTTGTTCTTAAGAGTTTGCATGTTTATTTTTGCGCCGTGGAGTTTCTGAAGAGGTTTTGTTAAATGCTTGGAAAAGATATCAGAAGAAACAAGTTTACAACAATTTTCTTTTCATAATGAAAGAATATTTTCCTGACAAGTGAGATCTAAATGCTCTTTATTGTAAAATAATTGTAAATATTTTTTATTCCAAATACCAGTAAAATAGACTGATTTTTAAATATAGTGCATCTTCTTTAGTCCTCTTAGTAAAAGCTTCCATTTCATGTTTTTGGCAAGTCTCACGGTGGGTCCCAAGTGTCTTTGAGTTCTTGCAAACCACAACTCATTTCCCTTCCAGAAGGCCGGATTTATTGTGAGGACCATAAGTTTGTTGAGTCCTAATTTGTTCATCTCAGGAATCATTGGGTCATTCACAAGTATCCAGCCATTTTAGTTTGTTTTTGAGGGGTTTATAATGCTTTTTAACGTTGTGCAGATTGTTTAATCCATCTCGTTACTATCCTGGGACATATAATACATCTGCATTTCGTTGAGGACATAGAAGTTCCGTAACTGGTGGGATGAGGACTTTCCACAACCCGCCCTTCCATCCTATACAGACCGACCGTTGCAGGAGGCGCAGATGGGGTTTATGCCTTCATTTCCAGAGCAATTTTTTTTCTTTTTTCTATTCAGTTTCAAGAAAAGATCCCTGGGTTAGGGAGAGATTTTATTTTAGCGAACCAATGCTGTAGAAATTTATATTATTAGGAAACTTGTCTTTGGAACAAAGTGGCAGCTATAAGATTATTTTTGTTTTTACCTCAAAAATTTGAGGAAGGCAGCAAAAGTCTAGTGGGGAAATACTGACTTGGAGACCTAATGTTCTTTTGTAATTTTAACTGTTTAGGGATTTTGTTTCTAAAATGTTTTCTGTTATGATGCAACAGTGAGAGATATGCTGACATTTTTTATGAGTGGTTAAGAGCCGGTCTAATAATCTTGCAGTTGGCTCTGTATGTTTGAATCAACATTTTTAAAACATAGAAAGTGAAAATTTTCTCATTTTTAGACATGGAGATCAAAGAATTATGTGCATTTTTACTGAGTAATTTTATATTGAATTATACTAAATTATAAAAGTTTTACAGTGGGTTTTCTGAATAGGATGCTTCATTTTAAATCAGAAAGCAGTAGTTGCTTTATAGTCTTAGACTTTAAAAGTTTTTGTACTAAACTATTGACTGCCATTATTTAAAAAAATTTTTTTTGATGAATACCCCAAAAAGGCATGTGGGCAGGTTATAAGGATTTGTCTAGTAAAAATTGTAATAATACTTTTAAATGTTTAATTTCTCACTTTGGGGTTTTTAGTTTATGGTATTAACTATAGTTCTAGGATTTTCCACATTTTCTAGTCACAGTTTTCAAAATATTATAAGCTGTCCTAATTAGCAGATATTATCATCATCAAATAATAACAAGATAGTATAATTATCCCCTTTTAGTATTGGAGAAAGAAAAATGAAACTTCATTGATTGCTTTCTGTTGTGTGAATTATTAACAAATAACTTTATAAATAGGTAATTACTGACAAACTAACATCTCTGAAAACCTCTGTGGAAATTTAATTTTTCATATCCTGATTAACATATCGTGACTTTAGTCTCTTTTCATGTGCTTCACTTTGATAGAGTTAATCCATAAAATTGCTTTCTACTTTACCTTGTAGAATGAATTATTAGTTTGTGGGCTAGGTCAGTGTAACTTTTTCACAAGTTTTTAAGCTCCACCAGGATCCACTTGTCTTTACTGTTTTTGGTCAGAAGAGTTGGTAACTGATGGAGCCTCGTTTTCACCTGCGAAAGCAATTAAATCCGGCTAACTGCTGAAACCAAGTCTCGCGCAGCCTCAAGTGCTATCCTGTCCAGGTTTTAAGTAGGAAGGGACATGGAGTAATGAAGTTTCAGTTTGACTCTTACTTTTGATGTCGAGAGAACATGCATGTTTGAATCCTTTTTTTTTTTTTTTCCATTTAGCATTTGTCTGCTTTTAAGCCTTTGTTTCCTTAAAAACTAAGTTAGAATCCAGAGAGTTTAAGGGATTAGGGAAATAGACGTCAAGTCATTTGCACTTTGTATCTGTAAATTACCTAATAATTATACTAGTACATCTGCTCCCGAAGGCTTTTTGGTAGGTGTACTAAGCTGTGAAAGCTGGCATGTTGCCTCTTCTAAACTATTCCATGACCCTTTTCCGCCTTTATTACTTAGGCTGATGCTAAAATATAAGTGTATTACGATGTGCCAAAGTAGAGTGATGTTCAGTATAGAGGCTGAAAATTGTGAAAGAAGACATGGCTGAGCGAATGATAAATTAGTTTACTAGAACAATTATATAGGGAAAAAATCAACTAACAAGGGAAAAAATCACATCGTCTTACATATTGAGAAGAAAAACAATCCTTAGGTTTCCAGGATAATTTTATTAAAGTCCCATGCTGTATAAACATACAAGTGATGAGAAAAACATGAACTTGAAACATGCACTATCTGGCATTCTCTAAATACATTATACAAGTTGTCATTTACTTAGAAAAATACCCACTAAAACAATCACAGTTTTTCTTAAAGATTTAAAAAAAATGTATTGGCCAGAACAAAGTCCAATAGAATAAACAAGATTCTGAATTGTATGTCAAAAAAACTGTACAAGGTTGTACATAAAACTAGGTTACAAAAGCCTTGGGTATAGTAAGAATACTGAATTAAGATTTCCAAAGTTCTATTTACCAATATCTATTAATAAAATCCTTATGAAATAATTGACTTAGAAAAAGTGAAATGCTCATGATTTCAGAGTGTATAGAAAATACTAAATATCACTTTCTGAAATAAAGTGTACTCAAAACAGCACAGCATGAAGTCTAAAATCAAGATTTCTGTCATTCATTTAAACTTTGCATATACTGCGCCACATCGGCTTAAGCATAACAATTCTCTTGCATTAGTAACTTTTTCAAAACTAGATTTCAAATCATTTCAGTTTCATTTTTTCTAATTGTAGCCAGTTTCAAAATCAGTTTGGGGGGGAAATCATATCATGGGGTTTGTCTATTTGTTTGTTTTGCCTTAATATTAAAGTTACATTACAGCACTAGAATTTAGACGTTTGGTTCCTTTCTCATCTTTAGAAATTAACATTCCATAGGCATTAAAAACAGAATGACAACTAAGAATATCTTCAATGAATTTTCATGTTTCTGTGACTGTTGCTTTGGGAAAATTATTAAAGTCAAGAAGTTAGTGTGAAAGGAATTAAGTTAATTGGCCGATTGGCAGTTATAAGGTTTATCCATCAGCATATTAGAAACAGTTTGTATTCCTGTTTCCCCCCCTTTTGTAGGAGATGAGGCTGTGCAACTCTTGACCTGCATTTTAGTTGGGACAGTGCATAGGTAATGCTTGGAAAATCCTATTCCAAACTCTAAGAATGACTGCAATGTTATAAGTAGTCTTCTTATTGGATAGTTTCAGATTGATAAACAGAAGATACATATATATTTATATATATCTTATATCTCAGAATTGTTTTCAGAGTGAGAATGAAGTGATTCACTGCCCTAAAGATGTGGTCATGAGCTGCAAATGGATTTGCCTTGTGAAGATATACAAAGAACTTTCAAACTCTGCTGACTGATAATACTGTTCTTGAAGCAATTAAGTTCAGAATTGTTAACTTATGCTACATTTTATTTTAATTGAGATGTATACCTACTTGCTCCTGTTTATGTAAAGGACATTAGACTTCCTTCTTTTTCAAGAAAATACTTTCCAGTAATAACATTGATTTTTAGGGTCAAGTGAGTTCACATGCACATGGCTAAAGGGTGAAGTCCTTTTGCTCTGTGCATCACCCTCAGAGGTAAAGAATCTGAATAAGCAGATTCTTTTTTTTTTTTTTAATCCCTTCCTAAAATCACCTCCAGTCAGAGAACAGCAGAGGGGAAGCACTAAGACTAGAGTAACACTTTTCTTGACTAGTGGACTTCACTTAACTGTGCCTTTTGGTCTCATGAGTTGGCGGGGTTACTAAGATAAAACAAATGAAATAGCTGCTATACTCTTGATATTGCCTTGGGCTGCTGTTGGAGTTACTCTGTGTGGTCTGCAGCCAGAAGTCACACTGGCTACCTACCATGTGCAGGCCAGCTAGTCATACTGTGTGCTTCATGGACCAAGTCACGCTATAAAGTATATCATTGGACCTGAAGACTTTTCCATTTAAAAAAGGTTCCGTGCTTCTCTAATTCATTGCATTTTTCCAATACCAGTTCCTAAATGTCAAAATCATACTGAAAAGCAAGGTACTGGGAAATAATCATATTGCACCCCATTTGGTCTTAATATAAGACATCAGTAAACATCTCTAACAACAGTGAGTCCTTCAGAATCAAGGCCCCGCTCAGAGTTTAAAAATCAGATGAAATGTGAACAGAAAGATGATCTGTTTCTCAAGACCTACTGTTTCACTGCTGGCCTCTTTGCCTTTCTGTGTTTTGTTATTATCAGAGGTAAGTAATCACCATGCGGCTAAAATTCCCTAATATTGCACGACCGCTTCTGCTTTTTGTAGAGTCTGCAAAGTTTAAATGTTAGTGACAGAACACAGACTAGCTTCTGAACGCGCTGTTTTTGTTTTGTTTTGAAAGAACAAAAGCTACTGTCAGTGAATGCTTTAAGAAAGATTAAGAAGTAACTCCAACACCCTAAAAATGGTTTCCCGTATTGCCAGAAGAATTTCAGTGCTTTTTAGCAAAACACCTGCATATAATACCTTAAATCTCATCACATGTATGCACCAGGAAAGAATTCCAAACTTTGTGGCGGTCCCCATGGGAAATGTTGGGGAAACAATACAAATAGAATATAAAAAAACAAAACACCATTAAGTTTGCATATCTGATGTCAATGCTGAGGTAATATTGACAGCTTAAAAAAAACCCACCAATCTTTGCCTCTGTTATTGCTACAAAAAACATTAATACTGATTGAGTTACCTTCCTATATCAAAAGTGGGAGGGAGGAGTTCATGAACATTTACTTGGTGAGGGGTAATGCTGAAAGCAAGTAAAAGAACGTAGGTAAATGGAAAAATATAGAACTACAGTCATGGTATCCTTTCCATCTGGAGTGAGGGAGGCAGTCCAACCCCAGTGGGGTTACTTTAGCCTTCATGGTGGCCCCTTCGTGAATTATTTTACGTTGTACCACACACTCAGTCTAAGCGAATCCTGAAAAATAAAATCCACAGGTTCTTAAATAAATAGTTGCAGTTCCTCCTGAAGACGCTGGGTAAAGTGCAGAGAGAAGCACCACAGAAGCCCTCGGGCTGGCGGGCATGGCTTGTCTAAATCCGGATCTGGTAGCCCACTTCGTTCAGAGCGCTGAGATCCGCTGCCTTCTCGGGCAGAGCGGGCCTAGGGCAAAAGACGGCGGGGCAGAGGGAGGGGAGGCGGAGAGAACAATTAGTATTTTCAGGGGCCGCCTCTACTCAGTTTTCCTAACCCTACCCCACCCATCAGCCTCAGCTCCCAACCCTGCCTCTTGTTCCTGTCCACCTTTTACGGGTTTTAAGGAGCATTTTAACAGGCTTTCAATCTAAAGTTCAAAAAGATGTACAGGTTGCTGAATGAGTTTGTTCATTGAACTTTAAGCCTGAATTTGATCACACTTTAGCTTGTGAACCTCACAAGGGTCTAAAAAGTCACATATACTACAGTAGAACTAATAATCTGAGCCAGAGTCTCCTTGAAACCTTGGCTTCCTAGTGTCTGTGCCCTGGGGGAGGCCAGAGCTGTATGGAGGGACTCTGTTATCTTTGAGAGAAGGTTACTACCCCAGACTTGAATGTCTATAATCAGGGTGAACCTTTGAGAATACACCTGAAAAAGCATGTCACGGTGCCAAATCATTCAGTGGCAAACCACCTCGCTTCCCTAAATACATTCCCTAAGGTACTTTCCAACAGCCAACTACACCTACGCTGTGTGTCTTCCCCTCCTCTGTGTGCCCCACTTTCAGAAAATTCAGTAACCAGAAATTCACTTTTTCAAAGATAAAGCTTGATGTACTCACAGGTAATCTTTTCTTTCGGAGGGCAATTAAAATATGTCTACACTACCTCTCCCAGTATTGTGGCTATGTAAGCATATATTACCTAATATAAGTCATACTTGTCTTTAGCCAGTGGTTTTAATGCACTGTGTGTGGTTGAGCCTGTTGGTTGCCCCTTCACATCGCTCTCTCCTCCTTCCTCAGTGTGCCCAGCTAGAAACCTCTGATTTCTAGCTGGGCACAGAGCTGCCCAGGATACAAGCCACATTTCCCAGCCTCCCTGAAGCTGGGCATGGTCTTGGACTGAGTTGTAGCCGATGAGACTGAAGCGGACCTGGGGTATGGCCGTCAGTTACCAGGACACCTGTTCAAAGGACAATCGGAAGGTGCCCCTCGCTTTCTTTCCCTTTCTCTTCTTTCTTGGGGGAGTGACAGGAGCTGGGGCTGGGCCCTCCAGGGGGCACACTAAAGAGGCAGAGATAGTAAGGGGCCCCCATCACCGCCTCTGTTGAGCTTCTTTCACATATGGTGACTCATGGTTAAGCCACAGCTTCATCCAAACCTTCCCCACTGCCAAAGCCAATCCTAATGGGTACCATTTCCCTCCGTGAACTCACGAATACAAGGCTAATTCAGACACGATGCTGGAGCGGTGGGTGCTGAGTAGGCCTGAAGACGGTTAGTATGTGGAGTAAGGAGAACATGTTTCTAGCAAGTTCTCTATGATTCCACTCAGGACAAGCTGCCACACCCTGAATGAAGTCCAGAGACTCAACTTAGAGGCAGGCTCTTCCCTGGAGCCCTACGTAGGACCTAAGCCCTGGTGGTTCTTTAGCTCTCCCATTGTCTCTGAAAATGAAGCAATTCCTTGTGCCTCACACGAGAATCCCTGTTCCATGGTCCTTGCAGCGTCTACCAGTGAGCTCACCCAGTCTCTGAGCCATGTGTGCACATGCTTTCTTCCTGGCCTGGGATCCTCCTCCATGCCGAGTCACACTTCTCCTGAAACTAAATGTGCTGCCCTTACTGCTAGTAAGACTAGCTTACTAGTTTTTCAGGTGTGAAAATAAATCTACACTCACCTATTTTTCCTCCCTCAGTCCTGTGACCAACAGGCCTGCTGGGAAGCTGGTGGCAAGACAGGCTACAGGGTTGGTCAAGGAGTGGGCAAAGCCTCCCCACTCGGCCCTGTAGTGTGGCTTCCCCAGGGTCGAAGCAGCAACCAATCACAGCAGCCACTCCTCAGGAGCTCACTGTGGAGCCCCTCAGCCTTAAGAAACAGAATTTTCACCACACTTTTCATAGTTTGTGTGCTCCTAACACTCTACCCTTTACCTTTACTCATGTTCTGCTGTTGGCACCCTTGAAAATAAATGCACTTTTATTTGGGGTCTTTGGTTTCCTTTTTCTAAACCTTTCCTGAGCACTTCCACCAGTTCCCCCACACCTTCCAGGGGCCGAGAAATCGCCATTATAAAATAAGTTTTGTTTGTTAGGCCTTACTATGTGCCACGCAATGTTCTAGGAGGGTTCTAAGATCGATTAATTATCGCTCTAAACTTATGGGTTGATACTGTGACTACCCACTTAACAGAGGAGAAAACAGGGGCACTGAAAGTTAAGGAACATGCTCAAAGCACAGTCACATGGCTACCAAGTGGCAGAGCCAGCATTTGTCCCCAGAATCTAGAGCCCACATCCTTAACCAGACGCAAACCACCCGGTCCTCCCTACCCCACGCAAAGCATCCTCCTAGGCACCTGAGAATGACGCCACGGCCACTCCTGCCTCCGCACCTTGGCTATGGAATGCCCTCCCCGTGTCTTCCTGTCATCCCTTCAAGGTCCAGCCCAAAAGCCCCTTCTCCCATGGAGAATCTTCTGACTTCCTAGGGCATTTCCTTCTGTTCCTTTGTTCAAGAATCCTGCATATTCTTAACCTTGTGCCTGCCTTGGAGACTGTGACCAGCTTGAGAGCAGAAACAAGTAAATTCATCTAGGAATCCTCATGGTCGAATATCCTGAATCTCTCCATAAACTTTGGTCCAGTTTTCACTAACATGTAAATGGCTGATAGGGCTTCATTACATTACCTTTATCAGGGGATGTTTTCATTTTCACAGAGACAAAGTCCTAAGCCAGGAATTCAAGTCACCATGACATCATTTGAAGAATTAACAAGTAGGTACAACATTGTTTTTTCTGTATAGGAGAGGCTTTACCTCACCCTGAAAAGCCACTTAGGGAGCCTGCCTACTCGGAAAGCTCAATGTGGTTCTGCAGTGACAAGTAGTTTGAGGGCTTCCAAAGGAAGCAGACTAGGTTGTCCCTTTCCTCTGTACCCCACTCCTCCTACCGCCCCATAGGTACTCAGGAACTAGGGGAGGTAAAAGGCTAATACTAGCAGGAAATGAATGGAAAGGAGATTCCTGGTGAGCTGCCTGGAGATGAAACCCTTTTCTTCCACGGCCACACTGGCTGCCGTTTCCTGGCCTGGCGAGGGGCAGAAGTGGGTTATCACAGCATGCCACCTGCCTGAGGGCCTGCCAGCTCCGCTCAGGGCCAGCGCTGGGCGAGCCATTGCACAGGGAGAGGCTCTTCCAAGGGCTCCCCCGGCTATAATTAGAACATTGCCAGGGATTTATTTTTAAGGAACACAAGCACCCACATGATGACTCAGCCGGGTCGGCACTTGCCCAGAACCTCTCATCACACCCAGAGTTATTCTTTTAGACTGAATAAAATAACGCATTTCTCCAAACCCCTTCCCAGTCCAAACAAGGACAAGAAATCAACAGATTTTCCTTTGAAAGGCTCTCAGGCCGCCCTCTGTTTTACGGGGACTTTTAAGTTTTCTCTGCGCGCTCTGTGCAAGGAAATAGGGGGCACACAATGGGTGACCCCAGCTGTGTCTGTTGTCACGTCAAGGTATCCAGGGAGAACTAGGGTGACAGTTTGACAGCCTGGTCCCATGTCGACGATGAACCCCAACCGCGGGCCTGCGTTCCAGGGTCAGCTGAGGCAGGGGCTACTCAGAAGGAGGCAGGCTGGGGAGGAGAGGCGGTGGCCCCACAGAGAAGGTATCTCGTGGGAAATATATTTAGTATTCGCCATGCTGCCTGACCTCGACAGTTCGGGGAAAGTGGACCGTGGATGCGTGGCTCATGGAGTCTTTCACGCGCCCTGAGGCAGCCTCAGCGCCGAGGAAGCGCTTTGGCGGGGAGGTTGATGTCAGGGAAGCCACGGGAAGCCTCAGAGCCAGAAAGTGATGGCAGCATGTTGGGGACCCACCGGGAACCGCGTCCCAGGGCTGAGCGTACGAGCTGGCGCGTGTCTGTGTGAGGCTGGTTTAAGAAAAGCAGCAGTAAGTGGACAGAGAGCCTCCAGGGTTCCCCCTAAACCACCCAGTCCCTTTCCTGCATAGTCCCCCCTCTGCCACACTCCACTTGGCTGCTGTGAGGAAGGTCAGAGGACCCGAGTGGCAGCCGGGGAAAGCAGGGCTCCTGAGACCTGCTTGCTCCACACATATTCACAGGAATTGATTTAGCAACACTTCATGCCAACAACCTTCTAGGTCTTGGGGTTACCAAGTCAAATAGCACTCCCTGCTCTCAGTGGAGCAAACATCCAATCCGTTCCCTTCCTTCCGATGCAGATTTACCTCCTACTTTTCCCCTGCACGTGTGACACACTTCAGGGACACAGGGCCTCTGTGTCCACTCAGGGCTGCCTGATAGGGACACACAGGCCACCAGTCAGTAGAGCTACGCTTCTCACTTCTGTCTCCCGAGGTCACAGCCCTTTAGGGTGGGGGTGCACGTGCCCATGCGCCCATGTGTTCGCATGCACACACCCTCACACCCAGACACGCTTTATTCTTTGTGGATCTGGGATTCTAGGAAGGGATGCATGGAAAAGGTACAGCTCTGACATCAGCTTCTTACTCTGTTAATGATGTGGACCAGGTCAGATCAGGGTGGTGTTGGCCCAGCATTCACAAACTTAACTGGAGACCCCAGGTCCTCCGCTCTTGTCTAGTCTGGTGGGAATCAGCTCGGGCCAGGCCCTGATTTAGGACCATGGCCTATTTGAGTAGCGTCCTCTGGAGGAACCCTGGGATGGGGGACTGATTCCTTCACACCTGTCACCCTCTTTCAAGGCCAGTCCTGCTCTTCGCCCACATGTCTTACTTCCCAGGGCTGCAGACACCACTGCTGGCAGCTGACGGGGCAGACAGCTGAAGCTGCGACATCAATAGGCCTGAGCCAAGACAGGTTTGGCTCTGAAGAGACTCTCCAGCCCTTCACCCTCACTTCAAGCCCTCCCCAGGCAGGAGGCTCTGGCCAGAGACCAAGAGCCAAAGC